TTTTAAGTGAGCATTTTCAATGATGAATCTTTAATATCGTTTAGCAACAACAACAACAACAACAACAACAATAATAATAATAATAATAATAATAATAATAATAATAATAATAATAATAATAATAACAAAATTAAGGAGAAAACGATAAAATTATGTAGATGTGCACATGATGAATAATGAAGTTGACTAATACCATCAACAAAGTTAAAGCTCAGTTTTATTGGAAGGAAAATTTAGTTTTTGTTAATACCAAATCAAACAGATGTGTTAAAGTCTATTAAGACATGTTGTATATACACTTATATATTCATCACTTTGAGCTCATCTCTGTTCTTATGCATTCTTGACCGGCTTGCATACTTGTAATTTCCATTTTTATGTTCTCCAAAATTTGCATTTTGACCTTTTTAAAGAGTTCACGCAGGCTACGTTTCAATGCAAGACTGCGTTATATGCCAGTGGGTACATCGTCTTAAAAATGTTCATCAGCGATAACATTTGACAGCGTGTTTACGTCATTTTTCGTCCGATTTGCTAACATTCTTTTTGATGCGACAAGCGTCGCCCAATCCTATCGTTAACCAGTCCAAGGGCAATGCGGTTCGGAAGCCCGGAGGTCAAAATTTTTGCCTAATGTGGATCGTACGTGCTTTATCTGTTCCAAAGTGTGTCACCTACGGCCACGCTTGTCTCTTTAGAACTGTACTGACATAGAAGGTGCGATTTAACCTGTAGGTGTCGTGTCGTTTTTCTTCTTCTTAGACAGTTACAACTTTGTCGGGACGATCAAACATAGGCGCAAAAATTGTTCCGGCCCTCTAATGCAACAACTACGCTTAAACTACAATAGTAGCATACAATAATTGTTCTGCATTTCTGAGGTTTCGGGTGTGATCCCTGATACCGTCAGGTGCTAGTGTTGGTGTGGTTAGCACGACGTTGTTTGCAGGAATCTTCTTCCTCTTGTACAGATCACCTCTTCGCTAATTTCTATGGATCGAAGGTCACATTATACTCAATAATATTTTATGTTTATAGCTGTACAAGCAGGTTTGATGGATCCCCATTTATGCTGGTTTGTGTCCGTTTTCTCCACAGGAACACCATCCGAACACATTTTTTTGTTTTTTTGTTAGAGTGATGTGATGCTGCAACAGCACGTGCTTCTTTGACTTGCATCTTCCCCTTTCAACGATGACTGAATGAGAAAGACGTTTTAATGAAAAGACCGATTTGTGTCAGGTAATTTTGAAATTCTTGAGTCAAATCCGATTGAAGGCAAACAAGTAAATCGTACTGAAAGGCACTGAGATAATTTTTTAAAATTTATTTTATACCTAACTACTATATCAATATAACAGAAATACTGATAAGTGTTCTCATAATGAACTGACCTGGGATACACTGCTTGCATAATAAGACAATAATTTACGGTCATGTATACATCAAGATAAGGAAATTCACCCACAAGTACATCTTAACTAGCCCTGATTGATATGAAATTCCTAATATGACAAATCGTTAAATCTTGTGACAAGTTTGAAATCGAAACCGCATCGCCCTTTTCTAGTTTACATGGCGCTTTCTGCTTGTCAGAATAAAACACGTCATGCGAGACTTAATCATATTTGTAAAGTGTAAAACTTCTGTGTATAGGTGAGCGCTTATTGGCAAAACAAAACAAAAACCCCAGAAAAAACAAAAAACAGCAAAACTAGCAATAAAACGCTTCCGATATTACACGCTAATTTATGACTGACAATTGTGACGTTTTTCATTGGTGTTAAAATGACGAGACAATACATGTCCGTTTGTATTGTGAAATTTAAATTGTTTTACTTTTACGTAACAGAAAGAGTTACGGAACAATACTTGGTTATTATGTGCTCTCTCTCTCTCTCTCTCTCTCTCTCTCTCTCTCTCTCTCTCTCTCTCACACACACACACACACACACACACACACACACACTCACGCAGATGCGACTGCATGTATAGGTGGCACTCACCAGTTTTTTTGTTTGTGATTTGTAACGTAGCATTAAGAATTTTTCAGTCATATCGCTACGATGTCTGCAGTGTGGCTGTTTATAGTGATGTCTAGCACTGGGGCATCATGCCGCAGACATGTAGCATGATGTCCCACCCAGTCACGTTATCCTGATACCAGGCCGACCAGTCCTAACACTAACCTCTTAAAGCTGAGCGCCAAGTGAGGCAGCTATTAGTACCATTTTTGTAAGTCTTTGATATGACTCGACCGGAGATCGAACCCACGACCTCCCGCATCTGAGGCGGACGCTCTAACCACTAGGCCACCGGAGCTGTTTTTTTTTTTTTTACTTTTGAGAGAGTGTTGTATGTAAGGTGAAGTTGTTTGCATTTGAAACATGCACAGTTGAGAAAATGTTGGCATACCTATATGCTACTTTCATGTAATATGGCTGAAATTTCTTTGGATATTGTACTTTTGAAAATTTGTAATGATCTTAGCACACTGTTAACTAAAATGAATGCTCCCTTGTGCTCCAAAAATCAACCTGAATTTGTCTAAAGTACACTATCCTTGGCAGCTATTAAAATAGGGAAAATGACTTTTGCCAAACTAGACAATACCAGCTTTTAAAAGTGTAATGAATGAATTACCAAATACTTAAAATGTAAAAAAAAAGTTATCGGCTCATTTTTGTACCATTTACCTCTGAAGTTCGGGAAGTGAACATGAAAAAGTAGAGCTAGCACTTTTTTGACAGGTGCACATCTGGAGTAAGGCCAAGCTGTATATTTTCTAACCCATATTACACCCGTCAATCATACACCAAATCAAGAGAATTAAATGTTCTTTGAACAATACCCAAGATATACAAAGTTTTTTTTTTAAATAGCCAGTATACCTAGTGAGGAAACCCTGGGAAATTCTTTTTCTGTAAAATTCTAACCCTATGCTAAATACGAAACTGTAGACGCCACCATAGATGGTTGAACGGATAAAAGGTCAGCTGTTAGAACGGACGGACGAATGAGATTGCTGAATGTTACTGTCATCGTAACTTTGATGTCTTACAGTAATTAAATATTTCTGGTATTTTTTTATTTGAGAGTTTAAAATCACGTAATCAGGATCTCGATGGTACATATTATATAATTTGAGGTAGATTTATGTCAAATTATGTATGCTGTAAACTTTACTGTAGGTTTATTCGCACTACACTGTATTATTCCATAATTCCTCGTAGCTTTGCTATTTTATAACTTTGTTATTATTATCTGAGACGATAGTAATGATTTTTTTTTTATTTCCTTTCAGACATTCCCGGTCACTAACGAAAAATAATACTAATTCCTATCACTATTGATCTGTTAGTGTACTATTCATTGTTATGAATCTTGCTTTGTAATTTGAGAACAGAAAGATAAAACAGAACAGCTATCAAACTCTTATCGTGGTGATGACCAAAATATTTACATGGTCGCGAAAGGGCGTACCGTTAGATCTGTTTCAGTCTCTTCACCTCTTTCAAATTGGCACTTAAAAGTGGACCGAAATGACGATTTGTGAAAGAACGACAATTATAATGAATAGAAAGTAAATATTTGAATTCTTAATATGGAAAATATATTTACGTTGGTATGTAGTATGTAACAAACACAATGTACCTTTTAACACTTAATTTTCGGGTTAAAAGCACACGTATAGCTTGATATTCTTCATCCTTAACAAGCGTGCGAGACTTAAGGACAATTCTGATGTAAATAAAGATAAATCAAGAATATTAACATTGATGTTTTCTAAATCTTTCATAGAAGAAAAAAAATCTTGTGACTTAGAAAAAAAATATGTACTTTATTTCTGTTGGTGAGCGCTTTTAACTTTTTAACCATATACCACCCGATATTATTATCTCGTGATCGCGAATCTTCGTAGCCAATACGAGTGGAGTCAGTATAGAGGTAGGTGGGGTCTTAGTGGGATACGGGATAGTGATGTAAATGCAAGTTATAGTACTGTGAAATTCGACCCATACCCAAGCGTAGTTACACAAAATATCACACCAAATCATGAATAAGTGTACACTTTTTTACATTTAATATCCACGATAAATTGTACCCATTGCAACCTTTTAGTTCAGTTATCATAAATCACCAATTTATACCCTCTTCTCACCACTCATCTCCATAAATATCTACCACTACCAAAAAAAAAAAAATAAATAAAAATGAATTGAATACAAAATTTTCTCTGACCATTTTGTGACCTGGCTTATTCATCTGGGGTCCTCAACCGGAGTACAGATTCAAATTCAGCTTTGGATTATTTGGATTCCATCATAGTAGTTTTATTTTCATTAAAATTGCTCTCCATGCAGTGTCGGTACACGGGGACAGTGGTTGTTTTTTTTTTTACGTTTGTGAAGAATCCTTCTCACCTTACTGATGTAAAGGTGATGTACTACTCAATTTTCAGCTGAAAAAATCTCCAAGCTCAGTCCCTTTCCCTCTCGCAGCCACTGTACCGATTTTTTTAAATAACGCTTTTCTAATGATTAACTTTCGAAATATTTTATGAAAACCAGTGTCTCCGCTATGAAACTAGAATCCGAGTCTGTGTGCACTCAGGTTCGAGAGTTTGAAAATGCAGCTTTGATACTAAAAGTGGGGGGGTGCATGTGTGCATGCGTGTTTTAGATTTTTAACGTTGCTTTAAACATTTTTCAGTCATGTCGCTACGATGTCTGCATCAGGACAGTTTATAGTGATGTCCATCATGCTGCAGACATGTAGCATCATGTCCGACCCAGTCACATCCTGACATGTAGCATCATGTCCGACCCAGTCACATCCTGACATGTAGCATCATGTCCAACCCAGTCACATCCTGACATGTAGCATCATGTCCGACCCAGTCACATCCTGACAACAAACCGATCAGTCCTAATACTAAGCTTTTAATGCTGTGCGCCCAGAGAGGCAACTATTAGCACCATTGTTACAAGTCTTTGGTATTACTCGAACGGGGTTCAAACCCACTTTCTCCTGCATCTGAAGTGGTCGCTCTAACCACTAGGCCACCGGAGAGGTCTCAAGATTGTGTAAATGTTGGATACTGAATCGGTTATGAACATGAACAAGCGTTTTTGTAATGAAGAGAGATCATATGTCTCTAATGAGCTACTTCTTACATGATAGAGCAAATGAAATTCACTTTCAAACTATTCAGATGACTGGCCAGTCCATTCCCGTGATCGTGCATGCGTTATAAGCTTTTATAAGATCACGATAAATATATATATATATATATATATATATATATATATATATATATATATATATATATATATATATATTGTAATTTTCACATTTGTATGAGTGAGGACGAGTGTGTGTAACATGCACAATAAATCCTGTGTATTTGCATAAACTGATGACAAAGGACAAATTATATTCATTTTATTTTTATTCATAAATATGTCATGCGCATGCATTATGCATTTATATGTAAGAAAAAAGAATGATTGTACTAATTTATTATTTGTGAGACAATTTCATTTTAATTTAATATTTAATCATTTTCACAGGTAAACATACAACTATTTCATATCATTCATGACTGCAACTCAAGAGTGCACTATGCAATGTATGATCATTTTCACACATATCAGACATCTAAAATTTGTGTCTAAATATGGAAGTGTAATAACTGACAAATTGTAATCTTTCTGTGGCAGAGAAATGCCTGAACATTTTTTCTTCTAAACCTTTCTGATTCACTCTTATTGCTTTTACAAACTTATCCTTTTTTAGGCAGGCAAACTCATAACATTCTGTACTTTTTTAAATAGATTTTTCTGACTCACTTTGAAAACATAATCGGCACAATACTTAAAATTGTGATCCAATATTATTTAAAAAAACGGTGTCATTTATCCCATTAAAAACCGATATGATCAATGCACAACAATTAAGCATGTACCTGTGTTAAAAATCTGCAGATAGAATAAGCCTTTTCTTACATTATTAAATCTTTGACATTAATTTGTATCACAAGAACATTCATTCAGTAAGCAAATATCACATTTATCAAGTGTCGAACAATTCATGCTTCAAGAAAGACTAGTCAAATGATGAAAAGTTCTTTTTTTTTAGCTAAAATAAAACCACATCACCATAAACAATAGTGGCAATTGTTAGCAAAAATGAAAACTACAGAAAGGAAGAGATGCATAAATTTAAGCAAATCATACAAATGTCAATAAACAACCAAATAACAAAAATTGATTTTTAAAAAAATGAGAAAAGATAAGAAAGAGACTACCTTTTTGTAGAGCCTGCCTTTAATTATTTAACTTCAAAAAAACTTGTAACACTGACCTTAATCTTTAAAATTTGAAATCTGTCCTTAACATAGGGTTTGGACAGTAAGACAGACAGATGGATGGCATATGTTAAAGTAACTCCTGTATCATGTTTCTGCAAGGTGGAACTGATAAAAACTTAATGAAACAAAGCTTTGAAACCCCACTAATGTTAACTAATGACTGACAGAAAAAGTGAGAGAAAAAGAATGATGACGGAACAAACAGACAAATGAAAGAAAGGAGGAATGGGCAAAGACATACAAATAAACAAACAAGAATAAAACGGTCAAGCAAACTATTGATGATTAATATATCAAATTAATCTTTTTAGGAACAGAGAAAACCTTTGTTTTCTCTATCCCGTCCAGTGTGTAATTAATAGATACTATGTTTTCTCATCCGATGAATCATTTGCTAAACTTCTTGAACTATGGTTTCAATCAAGTCTGAATATCAAACTTGTATTCAACCTTAGCATGCCCAATTTATAAGTATTTGAAACTTTAAACAGTTATTTTGATATAATTATAAAATAGTTAAGTCTCAAGTTTAAAGTTTATTTTCATTCAAACTTCAATGAATTTTAAGCTGGGAAGCACCATGTTATTCATAGTTACTTGTAAGTTGAGTCAATACTGCAAACAACATTCCCCAAAACAGCCATCCCACAATATGCCAGCAAATCTGGATCTTCATTGCTTTTGTTCTACAGATTACTCCTAACAAATCGTATAGACCCAGATCTGCTGGCACATTATGTCATGACAAATCTCAGTCTGTGCAGTTTTTAGTTGGACCAAAGTTATAAAAAAAAAAACTATATACCATATATAGTATATGGGTTAATCTTTGATGATGATGAAGATGAATTGCATATGGATCAAAATGAATTAAGTGCTACAGAGAGATCAACTAAAAAAATTATTATACTTAAATGAAAGATAAAAATTAATTCTGGATTTCTTGTGATTGCAATTATTTAAAATACTTTGAATCTTTCAAGTTTGCTATCTACATGCAAATGAGTTGATGCTGGTGTTTCTATGCAAAAACCTTGGTATTGTCTAGTCCTATAGCTATAATTTGGACATTAAAATGACTTTTAGTCAAGAACTAATTCTAATACAATTTTTAAAATCATAAATAGATAACCCAAGTAATGGTGAGCAGCTTGCTTTCGTAAATAAACCTGAACCTCTCTGGGATCCCACCCTAATCTCACTATGGAGCCCTTTTCAAAAACGATGACCACAACTTGTATAAATGTTTCATGGTGATAAATTAAAAAACAGTCCAACTAGTTGTGTTCACAAGAATTCATTATACACTACATTAAGCTTCAGGTAAAACAGTACAAAAAAAACCCTTAAAATAAATCAAAGGAGAACGGCAATTTATGATTTATATTGTACATAGTCGTTTATAAGATGAGACCAACTGCAGATTGCACAGACCCAGATCTCCTGTCACATAATGAACTGATAGATCTGGATCTGTGCATTTTGTTAGGAGTATTCAGTAGGACAAAAACCATAGACCCTGATCTGCAGGCACAAAGTGCTACCGCAGTTTGACTCGACTTAAGGTATATACAGTAACATCTGCAGATGATGATCATAATGTTACCTAATGGCAATTCATCAAAAACTGAACAAGTTGCTCTAACAAGATAATATCATATACTACAATAAGCTACAAGACAAAACAACAATAATTATTACAAATAGTGGGAGCAAAGTTACCTTTTCAATAAGCAATATGCACAGTTTTAGATGAATATCAAAATATGTACCAAGTTTCATGGCAGTCAATGAAACACTGCTGGACTAATTGTGTTAACAAGATAGCACACTGGATGGGAGAGTAGGTGGATACAAGGATTATTATAGGAGAGGTAGAAAAATGTGGTACGTTTATCACTGATTCTAAGACAACTGATTAAAGTTTTAAATGCAATCCAGTGATTTATTACAAGCCTTGATAATCAGTGGTTCCCTTTATGTTAATCTCCAACCCACTGGTCACACTTTTATAATATGAAAACAATGAAATGTGTGCATTGTCATGTAATAACCTTCATTTTTACAAAAATTAGCTGATTCATACTGGTCTGGATAGGATTTGAACCTGTCAGGTTACAGGTTACAAGTCTAAGCTAATAAGTGAGTCACCATGTAGTGGAAGGAAATATTGTTGCAGTACATTGCTCATTAAGATGCATCCACATGCAAAGTTTCATCAGTGTAGGGTTGAAACAATCTCTTAATAGTCAGTCTGGATGAAAATTTCTGTCATTGTTTTGAATTTATGCGAGACCAAAAATTGCAAAACTAGAAGAATTAATATGGGCTACATCATGCATTAGTCCATGTCTAATATGGGTGTCACCAGCAGTTAAGACCCTTTTCCCAATGTAAACTCTTACAATATTATTTGGCAAATTATTCCAAAATGTACACTACACTCAAGTATGAAAATACTATTTTTTAATGAAATGCATATCAAATACAACATGCCTAAAATGAGTTCCTTAAAGGGAACTTTTTGATTTTGTCTAGCTTTATGTGTAAAGTTTCAAAGCAATCTTAGTTAAGTTTAAGAGGAGTAGCAACAACAGACCATCCCTTAAGCAGACCATCAATAGAGAATTCTTTTAGTGACCATCCATTCAGGAGTAATGATAAGATTTTCAAGACAGTGGACTTCAAATTGGCACCATTTTTATTTTGGACCAACTAGACATCATGAGAAGTCTTTTGTGAAGACCCCACATTAAAATTCCCATCCATTCTGGAGGAGTAGCAATAACAATATTTTAAAATAGCCACTGTAGTGCCCACATCGGGTGTCAGCTCTGTGCCATTTTCACTGATGACCAACTACACATCTTGAGAAGTCTTCTAGTGAAAATCCTTGTTGATATGACCATCCATCCAGAAATAGTAATAATAAGAATTTCAGGATGGCCATTTTGGATGTAAGATCAACATTTACAACCAACCAGACATCAGGAGAAGTCTCTTAGTGAAACCTCATGTTCCAATGACTATCCATTCTGGAAGTAATGATAAGATTTTCTGGATGACAGACATGGTGGCCAGATTAGATGTCCAAATAGCACCATTTTCATTTGCAACCAACTTGATAGACCACTGAAGGAATGTATGTGTAAACTTTCACAGCAACCCTCCAAGCAGTACAGGAGGTGTAGTTATAACAAATGTGTGCCAACAGACAGATGTCAGACCATGATAGATAATAGACAATCCCATAAGCTCCATTGATCCATAACCAGTAGATTTAAAAAAGAATCCATTGAATCAGTGTAGTATTGCCTAAGCATGTATAATAAAAAAAATGTAATGAGTTTACTTGAATTATGACATTGCTGAAATTTCTGCATTTTTAGGCATTCTGCTAAATTAAAATTTGGAAAAAATCCTGATTTCACAATTTGCCAATATCATAACATGAACAATTCAACTTCCTAACATTCTGTGAGGTTAAATAACTGCATATTTAGACTTCTTCACAACAACTGTTGCAAATATAAAACTGCATGGAAATTTCCCCATATATATATATATATATATATATATATATATATATATATATATATATATATATATATATATATATATATATATATATATATATATATATATATAATTTTCTGACAACATTCTTCCATACAAAGAAATCAAAACCATCTGAAATAAG